ACAATCAGCAGCATGAGCACCGTGAACAGAATTGTATTTGTGAACGACCAAGTTGCCCTTGCGAAGACGCGACGAGTGCTCCTGCCTGATGTGCTAGAGATGTGCCAACAGTTTGGAAAAGAAGAGAATTTTGAGGTCCTTGCATCCATCACATCATTTCTCTGTGAGATGAAGCACATTTTCTACGACAACAACCGAAATATCATCGAAATTCTGCGAAATCTTGTGCAACACCGTCTCAGCTTCGATTTGAGAGAAGAGGTCGACATGAATCAGATGGCATTGCGGGCTTTACTCCTGGGAATAGCGATCAACCATAGCGTTGATATGAAAATTGGCGAGGACATACATCCCATGTATCTGCTGTCCTACTACACGCAAAAGATGATGGCAACCAACGATCTCGGTTATTTCATTGATCTCTACAAGAGATCTACAGCTGAGATTCGCTCGAAAGTGTTGGTCGCGATAGGACGGACAACAAAATTGGATGTTTACAGGCGAGTGGTTGATTTAATGGTATCTAAAACGATAAAAGCACAGGACAAGATTCACTTGTCCAGTTCATTGATGAGTAACTTTGATTTCAAGGAGTACTACATTCACTACTTCTTGGAGAACTTTGAGAAGATAAGGACGGCACTGAACGACAGTCTCATGACGTTTATTGTTGATCAGGTGGTGAGTTGGACACGTGATATCAATTCCATGATATGTTTTATTGACACACATAATATGACAGATTTTTCACAAACATATGCAAGGGCACTTGAGAAGGCGCAATATCGACTGGACTTCAAAATTAATGAATAAAATATTATCCACTTCTTGTACCCTACAACGGTTTAGTTACTCCTTGTCCCAATTTTCTTTGCTTAACGAGTGAAAAAAGCTTTGAAGGTTGATTTAGAGGTAGATCTGGCTTTGCCATAAACTTTACTGCCAGAACATACAAATTTGCGCACCGATTTTTGGATTATAGGCATTCCATGTGTGTGTTGGTGTCAATTATTCTTATTTAAAGAATGAAAATCAATATGTTTATGGACCTGGAATACGATAAGAATAGTGGCATGGAATTGACCACCGTGCCTTTTACACGAAACAAATCTCTCTATCAAATTCTCCCGAGATGCGAACCATTTGCTGGACCGGTATTAAGATAAGTTTTTAATGATCGTGTTCGTGGTGAAGATAACAAACACCTGATTGTTTGTGATACGTTACTGCACAATATGCAGCACGATAACCTCTAATGCCCGTTATTTATACCTGCCTT